AAAATCTGGATTTGATGCCAAACTCAACTTTAAAAACAAAATGGAACATGTCTCAGTTCAATTTTAATACGTCTTCAAAATCAATTTTTAAGAAATTTATAAAATTTGCATTTACAAATTTTCAATCTATTTCTAAACGAAGATTTTTCCAAATTGATTGAAAAGTAAGTTTCATGTTTATATTTCACTCTTGTGCGTGAAATCTATTTTAAACCATGCTCCAAATCGATTTTAACAGCGATTGGAATACAATTTTCTACGTACTCGCAAACATGGAGCATTAAAATATTTAAAATTCGAGTAGTTTATATTGCAATGTAATTTTCGAACCATTTTCTTTCACTCTTGTGCGTGAAATCTATTTTAAACCCTGTTCCAAATATATTTAACAGTGAATGAAGTAAAATATTTCCGATCATAAAAATCTACTTTTAGACGTTTATATTTAATTTATTAATTTATATTTAAAGCTTTTTCTTTCACTCTTCTGCGTGAATTCTAAACCATTGAATGCGATGCGAATGAAGTATTTGGCAATTACAATTTTCCACCTATTTTCCGATCATGAATTATTACAAATCTGCTTCAAGCTGTTTATTTATATTAATTTATATTTTTATTTATATATAAGGGTAAGTTTAAAACCTTTTTCTGTCACACTTTTCTTTTAAATCGATTTGAACAATATGTGGAAATTACAATTTTCCACTGATTTCCAATCGGTTTGATTTCCTATATCCTTCAAATAGAGTTAAAAGCACTTTCAACTTTCGAACTATTATTATTGTGAGAATATGAATACTGTTAATCAAATCAGCTTCCGATTTGGGCTCTGCCCTAAGCACTAATCAGTTGCATATACATAGACGTACGTACGGATGATTATATTACATGATTGACCCGTGACCCACATAAAATGACAAGCAGAAGCGCGCACGCTCACCCGCAGCTAAAAAAGAACAAGAATCTATAGATGGAAGTTATTGACCTTTTGGCACTGCCGCCAGTTGCAGCAATTTGACCGCATGCTGGCTGACACGCCCCCCACCCCCTTCGGGCTGCCAATCGCCCGCATGCCGCCGTCCCCTGCCTCCATCTCCTGCTGCTGCTGGAGTAGCCTGATTTGTGGGCATTTTATCTGCTTTTTATGGCCAAGCGACACGCGATTGAATATCGAATTGTCGCTGTCGCCGCCCGTTGACAAACGTCTAACACTGTAAATAAATTTTAGAGCCTAGTCTGACGGCGGCTGCTGCTGCTGCTGCTGCTTCTGTTGTTATTGTCGGCGTGTGAACCTATCGACGAGGGGTTGGGCTGTCGCAGTTGCGCCTGCGGGCGCGCTGTCTGTCGCAATCGCATGCGCGCCCAGCGACAAGCAGCACAGAATAACGGCTGTTAATACCCTTGCAGAGGGTATTATAGGTTTGTCTCGAAGTGTGTAACGCATAGAAGGAGACTTTTCCCCGAACCCAGAAACTATATATATTTTCGATCAGCCGACTTGATGTAGCCATAGTCCGTCTGTCCGTTAGTTTGACTATACGTCTCATATATATGTATATGGGAAATCCTATCAACATCGGACCACTATATCATATAGCTGCCATAGGAAAGGTCGGTCGAAAAGTAGGTACAAGCTTCACTTGCCTAATTTCTATTAATCGTATCGTGAAACAGATGAGATCGGCCAAAATATTTGTTTCTCGTCCTTATCCTCTTTCATATGTTTCTTATAGAAATCTTAAAGTCATTAGGGCATAGTTCCAATATATACATATACATATACATATACATATATAAAAAATACGTACGCATATATCGCAATTCTTTTTGCCAGGGCATTTAAACTTCGGCAATCCGAAGATAACTGTTTTGACTTTCTTCTTTGGTTTTTTTTTCTTTTTTTGCCAGTGCTGCCAAGCGACGAGTCTAACAGTGCAACTAACTGTAACACCTGCCGCATTTATAACGTTCAAAGTAAAACTTCAGTTGCCGCGCGCGCACAAGCGAACCCCGGCGGAACACCTTTCAACCCTGAACGCTGCGCGACCCTCTCGCTTACTTCCTTCTTCGTGCTATTGAAATGCCAACGCACTGGAAGGCCAATAAAAAAGTAACGTTTGTTGTGTGTTATTTACATATTTTCAAAATGAGAGTGCTGCTATTTGCAGGCACACACACACACACACACACACACGCGCGCATACACTGAGAGTTTCAACCCCAGCGTGAAAGCCAAGCGCAGTGAATTGCAACGGCGCAAAATTCAACCTCGAACTTCGTAGCTGCTGCGCGGCTTTCCCATTTCCATTTCCTCCTTCCATCCGCAATCCAGCGTCGAGTTGAAGCTGGCGGAGACGTCAAACGTTAAAACTAATTGATATAATAGTTAAAATAACAAACTAACGAGAAAGAAGTTGGCTGTAACAACAGCAGCAGCAGCAGCAGCGACGGCAGCGGCTGCGGCAGCGAAGCCGCAAACAAAGCGAACAAAAAGAGTTTGCCGAGTTGGCTGCGTTGGCGAAGTGCAAAACCTTTCCAATTTGAAAATAGCTGTGTGCTCGTTCCCACAAACAACAACAACCAGAAGAAGAAGAAGAACAACAACAACAAGCACTATGCCTGCAATTGCAGCGTCAAATAGGCGAGAAGTGAGCGGACGCTCGGTCGGTCGGTTGGTCGATCGCCGCAAGCAAGAAGATGACAATGCAGCGATTAAAGCAAAGCAGAACAACGCAAATTGAACTCTGCCCAACGAAGTCTCTGAATCTACTCTTCCAGGCAGCAGCAGCAGTGTCAGCGGCAGCGACAGCGGCAGCTGGAAAAATGCTTGATCCAATGCGCGGCATTTCCGTTTGCCCGTGAGGATGATGCTGCAGCGGCCACTTGTACTATGCTCTTTGCTGTCCAATCGGCCGGACGGGCAAGAAAACTAATCACATTTATTAAATCAAAATAAAATATCTGCGCAATTTATTAAAGCATTTTGTCTGTCTTTTATTTCTTGGCTTAAGTGTTGCGTGCCGAACAGGAGGAAGTAGCTTGGACATTGATATGTGTATGTTCATTTGCCCAGAGGAGAGCACACTAGCAGATGCACTAGATAAGGAACTAAAAAAATAAAAATAATATGAATGCAAGCAAATTACAGTTTTTCACCAACTGCTTAAAGCATTTTCAAAACAGGGCGATAGCTATCGATAGATAAGCCGATTAATCTGTGGTGCTACATGGCGCCAGCTTGTGGCACTTTTCAGCACTAACCAGTGCATGCCGGTCTGACCGATAACAATATACTCGATTATAGTTTCGATACAAAAATTCAAAAGCACAATTGCGCGCGCAACTCTTTATTCAAAATGTTTGTAGGCTAATTAAATGCAATAATTATTTTAATCGCTAATTAGGTTTCGTGCGTTTAATGAATGTAATCTATGCTTTACTAAAACTTATGTATTAGTGATTTTTAGAGTTTTGCTTGCATTTTCATTAATGTTTAGCTTGAGTTGAGCTTGACTTGATGCGATTTGTTTTTAGTTTGAATGCGTCGCTATTCCTCGCACACGTAACATGCAACCAACGTAACGAAGGCGTTGCAGGCAACCGCAATAAATTACCTGTGCAACGGCAGACAGGTACACAGCATAAGTACATATATAAAATTATACACTGTAAGTATGTTATTTACGGCCCGAGCATAAACTCGCTGCAGACATTAATGCCAATTTTATTTGGCTAACTGGCACCGGTTTGCAGACCACCCACCCACCCCCAACCCTAACTAGTTAATGGTTAATTGTAAGCCCTAAAATGCTGCTGGCCATGAACTGATCATGGCTTAGATTGGACCTAGCCTTCGCCTTAACTTGACCACGCTCGAAAAATATTTGGCGTAATTTATGCGCGTATACGCAATGTGGGTTACGGTTACTGACCCACCTCTAACGGCGTCGTATTTGTGCCACACTCACTCGGTTTGTTTATTTGGTTTTATGCGTTTACTTCTCGCACACCAAATCCGTCGGCGACGCAGCCGCAGCCACAGCCGCTGCTGGCCATTGTTATTATTGCTATTAACACGATTTTTGAAAATTTTGTGCTTCATTTTTATAATACCCTGTACACATTGAAAACTAAGGTAGCATTGCTTTGGGACCATGTATGTAACAGGTGGATGTATGTAAAAGTTGCTGCCAATTCAAGGATTTTCTGTCTATAGTCAGAAGTTGTTAACGAGAAATAGCTGAAATTTGCAGCTGATTTGGCTATTTTGTGAATGTGCTATTAATACGATTTTTAAAGTTTTGTGCTTCATTTTTATAGTACCCTGTACTAAAATGGCAAAGAAAGGTATCTTTGCTTTTGGGACAACGCAAGTAACAGGTGGAAGGAGGCCAACACAAGGATTTTCTACCTATAATTGGCTGTTGTCAGCCGGTAATAACAGCCATTTTAAGCTGATTTGGCTATTTATGTGAACATTGTATGCTTTAATTTGTTAATACCCTGTACCCATTGAAAATGTGCAAGAAAAGGGTATCTTTGCTTTGCGATGAGGTAGATGGATCTATGAACAAGTGTAGCCAATTCACGGATTTTCCAGCTATAGTTGGATATAGTCAGAGTTATTCATAACTGCAATTTTAAGCTGATTTAGCTATTTATGCTTCATGTTCATCCCTGTATGATGGGATGAGGCAGAAGAAGGCATATACGAATGAGTGTAGCCAAGTCGAGCATTATCTAGCTATAATTGGCTATTGTCAGCCAGAAATAGCTGCAATTTTAAGCTGATTCGGCTATTGTTGCATGTATCGACAGTGTTTGCAGGGCATCTTAAAGTCGGTGTCTTTTGATTTGCTGCTGTTTCTTTTGTTGGACACTTAGTGGCCAGCGGCTGACTACCGCATTTCGCAGACTTGTTTCAATTTCTGATTGCCGCTCGACTCGTGCGGATCGAACAACAATTTTGGGTATAGTCAGTACTCCGGGTCCGTAAGATGTGGTTGGCTATGCTGCTGCTGCTGCTGCTGCCGCTGCAGTGTCTGGGCGACATGGTGGTGGATGACATATGGAACGCCTTCAGGGCTGTGACCAATGACAGCGCCTTGCTGGAGCACCTGATACCGGAAATGTACGGCGCCAGCATGACAAATGCGAATCCAAGCTTCACATTCAAAATGCCCAACGAGCAGCTGTTGACAATGCAGCGATCCGATTTTGCGGCACCAATCTTTCCGAATATCACAAAGCAGCCGCAGATAATTGTGGAGGGCAACACGCATGCGGTCAAGTCCAGTTCGGGGGCATGGCAGCAGCTGGGTCTGCCGGGCTGGACGGGCGAGCTGGAGCGTCCGGCGGGCTGGCTGGAGCAGACGCACAGGTGAGTATAGCCTAGCTGACCTGGTTGGAGCACTAGCCAAAATCTCTTCACAGGGATGCAGCACAACAAAAACAACAGGAGCCACAGTTAAGCTACCCGCTGCCGGATTATCCACGCACTGAGATTTTACTTGACCTAAAGGGCCAACAGCTGGATGGACGCGTCACGGACATACGCGTCATAGCTGCCAATCCGGCGGAGGCGCAACGCGAGGATCTGCTGAATGCACAGAATGTGTACATTGCGCGCGCCAACGATCCCTTCGGCTACTCCATGAAGTGGGCCTGGAGCAATGAGACGCAGCGGGGCAAACGGGACGTGGCCAAGCTCTACTCGATGATCAAGTGCTCCACCAACTGTGATCCGTTGATCTACAAGGGCTACGGCTGCTATTGCGGCTTTGGGGGTCACGGCGTGCCCAACGATGGCATCGATCGCTGTTGCCGGCTGCACGACAAGTGCTATGGCCAGAGCAACTGCATCTCCTACCTCGAGTACTTTGTGCCCTATGTGTGGAAATGCTATCGCGGCAAGCCGCTGTGCGCCATCGATCACGGCGAGTGGGGTGGCCCGGACTCGTGTGCGGCCCGGCTGTGCCAATGTGATCTGAGGCTCTCCCGTTGTCTGCGCAAGTTCTATTGCCCGAACCGACGCGCCATTTGCCGCTCGTCGCGCACCAGAAGACTCCAAAATCTGATATACTTTGATTAATCTATCAATCTGTCAATTCCTTCTCAGCTTGTTTGTAGCCAATTTGTGTTCGAAAAGCTAATTTAGCCATTTCTAATAGCTATTTTAACGTTGAATTCAGCTATTTTTTAATGGAGCTTACACAACACTGGTCTGCAATTGTAGCTAACACTGAAAGTACGAATCACTTCGATTACATTTTTAGTTTTCTAAACGGAAGTCCTTTTCGTTGTGTTCCTATGTATATAGAAGAGTTTACGAAGAGTTAGACTTAAATAAAATTTTCAACTATTCAATGAAAATTTTAAACTTATATTATTGGAAATGATATTATTCATTATTATCATTTGAAACTCATTTTTAAAAAATATTTTTCCATTGTATTGAAGAATAATATCTCTAAAAATATTGTATATATTTTTATTGTAAGTAAAAAAGTGGAAGTGATTTATGGATGTGGTATATAAACGGGCTATTCAGAGAAGTTTGGATTAAGTTTGGATCTTATTGTTTTTGAAAGGTTTAAAAATAGTTTTTGTCATTAAATGTACGAAAATTGGATAATTATATCCTGAAAATTGGATTATTGCATTTCTTCGCTTTCTGTAGATGTTGGGTTAATGAACCGGAACTGGAACTGGAACCAGTTAAAAAGTTTATCAAGTGTATTTTCTGATTTGGATTTATGTTTATCTTAATCATGATTTATGTTAATCTTAGTCTAATGATGCCTTTGGCTCTTGCGCGAACCGCTGCGCGCCTTGTTGCCGGCAGGCGTGCGCTCCTTGTCCTTCTCCTTCTCCGCCCTGCCGCTGGTGCTGCTGGCGGAACTATTGTCGGATGCCGTTTGGCTGCACGTGGCAAACTCCTTGAGGGAGCGGCTCTCCTGCATGAACAGCAGCGCCGTCTTGTGCTGCGTGGTCTGTGGCTTGTAGATGAGCAGCAGATTCTGGCACATGAGCACCACGTCTCGCTGCAGTTCGCTGATGCTGCGCAGATGGCCGGAGTCGATGTTGCGCTTAATGGTGGGCAGGTCCATGGGTCGCAGGCATAGCTCCGTCTGCTTGTGCGGATGCTCGTCGTGAAAGGCGCGTCGAAAGGGCGATGCATACTTGCTCTCCAGCAGTGTGCTGTAAATGGCCAGGAAGTGCTTCTTGGAGGCGCCGCGCGTCTCGCGACGATCGTCGGTGTGCTCACTGGACGCCGGAGAATTGGGTATGCTGTCTATAAGCGGCGTAGAGGAGCAGCGCCTGCGCGTACTAGACCTGGCTGTTATCGACTGATCGCTGGCCGTTGTCGTATCATCATCCACCATGGGACTCTCGGAGCGATCCCGATGCGGCAACTTGCGCAGCAACGGCGGTCGTGCCGGCACCGGCGCAGGTGCGGGTGCAGGTGTGCTGTTTATACCCGAGCCGCGGGGCGGCGTCTGACGCGTCATGTGGCTGGACTCGGCATCGGGTTTGCTTTCAGTGTGTTGCTTGGATGATTTGGCGCTGTGGCGTGTGGGCTCATCCGTCTTGCTGCTGTCTGTCAGCGAGGAGGTTTCCTCATCTGTGTCGTGCACCGAACTGGCAGCCGTGGGCCCAGGCGTTTTCAGCTCTGTGTTGGCCTCGACTGCAGCTTTCTCTGCCTCCTTGTTGGACTCCTCCTTGGGCGCTGCAAGTAATACATAAGCTTGAATGGAGATCTTTGAATCTAGGCTTGGGCTTACCTTCGCTAATTGCCTCTGCTTGCTCAGCTTTGGCATCTGGCTCCGCCAACTGGGCAGAATCTTCGGGTTTTCTGCTAGTCTCGGCTGTGTCGCTTACAGCCGCAGGCGACTTGACGGCTGCCGTTTCCACTGCCTCCACCGGATCGGCCACTGCCACAGCTGAGGTCTGTTCCCGAACTGCATCCTCACTGGAGCTGCTGGCAATTGTTATGGTCTCGGTCAGCTCATCCTCGACAGCCGCCTCATCAGGAGCTGTCTCTGTGCTCTCGACAGACTGCTGATTGCGGTCTTTGCTTTCCTGCGAAGCCACTGCGGCCAGCGGTATATTGTCATTGGAGTCATCACTGGAACCAATCACCACTTCCTGCGCTTTCTGCTGTGTAGGCGATGGGACACAGTCGTCACCCTTTAAAGCATTGAGGACAACCTCAAAGTCAACTACCTCAGCTTTGGCTGACGGCGCAACGGGTGAGACCACATTGTCCACATCCTTAAGTATTTCTTCATCAATGACGCCGGCGATATCAATGTCTATATCGTTTATTATGTCGTCCATGTTTTTGAACACCTCAAGCAATTGTTGCGTCTCGGCATCCGATTCATCTGCGATATCGTCGGCGGCCGGCGCAGCGTCCAGCTCTGCAGTAGCTTGTTTTTGACTGGAGTTGAGCTCATCATCCACAGGCTTAGCTGGCGTCTCGTTCACCTTAGCTCCAGCTGCTGCACCTCCAGCTACTTTATTCTTCTCCAGCAGCATGGACAGCGTCGGTGCTGCCTGTGAGGGACTGCGTCCAGTTATAGCCACCTCAGCTACAGGTGGTCCGCTTATGGGCCGCGTCATAAATGCCGGGTCGTTTGGACTTTTCAATATGACTGCCGGCTGATTGGGCATGGCGCTGGCGCCGCTTGTCAGCAGCGAGGTTATCGTTGGCGCCGCTGCCGTCGCGCGCGCCACGCCTGCTCCACCGGAACTACCCGTTGGCGATGTGGCATTGTTACTGTTGCTGCTGCTGCCACTGCTGCCGCCGGGCGATTTGAGCAGCGATGTTAACAAAGGCGCGGGGGCCGCGGGTTGCTTGTTATTGTTGTTGTTGTTGCCTGGAAGTAGGTTTATAATTAGTAATGCATTGATTACAGATAGGAAACGCTTTCTTGCACGGACAGTATGTAAAATGCTTTAAAATAGCACACTGTCTGGCGACCAGTGTTGTCAACTGCCGCTACTGAGCAGTAGCTGAGTCGAATGAAAATAGCTGACTTGGCCACACTGGGACTCAACTTTTTCTCTATTTACATCGTGTCCAACTTTCTGCACTCAAACAAAGTTAGAGACTTACCTGCAATATCCTCCACATCCATATCGACGGATGTTGTGTCTGCGACCAGGTTGGAGCGTCTTCCGCTGCCACTGTTGTTGCGCCAGTTGCCCGAAATGTCTTTCTTGCGCTGCTCACGCTCGCGCATGCGATTCTCCAGCTTCATTTCGTCAATGCGCTTGGTTTCCTGCTCCTTTTCGATTTCCTGCCACATTTGTTGCAGCTGCTGCTCGCTCATCTCATCCGATTGCAGTGTCTCGATTTCCCGCTGCACCTGGCTATACAGCTCCTGATCGCGACGCATCTGAGTTTTGATCTCCAGCAAACGCTCCTCCGTTAGCCGGCGCAGCAGCAGCTCTGTAGGCGTCTCCACGGCCACAGTGGCTGGCGAGGAGAAGCCGCTGCTGCTTTCGTTAGTGCGCTTCTTGCGTTTGGTTGTCTCCACCGTTTCCAGCAGGTGGCCATACTGCACGGCACAATTCTTTTGCGAGTACCAATCCGCCGGTCGAGCGCTGCCATTGCCGCAAACAGATTTTAGCGTGCGGCTAACTGTTATCCAGTTCTGGTCACCGCTGCACGAAACTGCCGAGGCCAGGCATAATTGTTCACGTTTGGACCAAGTGTCCAGCGGAGTACGGCTCATTTGTTAACAATATTTTTATTTAAATGCAGCAAAAAATTATTTCGCCACAGCTTTGTATGCACTGTTAGAGATGAGTATTTTCGAAGTAACTGTTACTAGGTCCGTAAACTAAACTTTGCTGTTGGTGGGTAGCATTACGCTGTAAATTTAAAGAAACTTAGGCAATAATTATATATAATAATAAATTACCACATAACTAAATCGTTTGTTAATTTATCAACACCACAAATGAAGTTGCATGTAAATGCACATTTTATTCTTTTGTACTATACTTTTTGGTACTTTTGTTATTTTTAAATGTGAATAATAAGTATTTTTGTAGTTTCCACCTACGGTCACACTGATCATCAACACAACAACAATTGAAATAACAACCCACTTCAGATTTTTTTGTGTACTGTATTTGTGTAATAAATATACAAAAAAAAAAGTTTATATAAAAATGCAATCAGTCTCGCAGGTCGTTAAAACAAGTCTGCCAAATTATTTGTCCAGCTTGCCGATACCCAACACTTTTGGCGGCTGGTTTCAGTTATCATGTGAGTGCCACGCGTGTTCGAACATTGGAACTCAACTGAAGGGCGCCCTAAATAATAAATATGCAACTACTTAAAAGATAAAATGACGTAGCCAAAAGGCATAAGCTTTGCTTAAAATATGCCCTGTGGCCTTGTGACATGAGCTTACCTCTATAAGTGCCCATATTCAGCGGTGATCCCAGTGCAGCTGCTCACCTGGGCCAACTTATTATGCAACATTTGGGTCAAACTCGCGCCATTGCTGAAATTTGTTGTTTGTGTAAAAAACGAGCATTTTTAATTGAAAAGCTTGCCATAATTTTATCTGCTGCATAGATAAACAACTGGCAATTTGATAAGTCAAAATTGGTGCCCATAAAAAGCTCCCACAACGGACAGATCCTTTAGCCAGACAATTTAATCTCAAGATATTATAAATTTTTGGAATAAACCAGAAATTAACTTTGTTATTAAACCCTCCGTGTGTGCCCATATCGGCTCATTTAAAAACTAGACCGAACTGCTTCAAAAATATATCTAATCCAAGAGCTGTACGTTTTTTGTTGCAGTTAAGGATTGGCTAGCACTCATTCCACCCACCGCTGTCGTTGTCGGCATCGGCTATGTCTCGTACCGTGCCTTCTGTCCCAAGGCGCACGCAAAGTGCAAATCCGGCAGCGGTCACTGCAATGATCACATACGCAAACATGAGGCTAAAGTCGTGGACATGATTGACATTGAGAACATTGCGGACAAGGCCGCCTTCTGCCGCTGCTGGAAGACCAAGAACGTGAGTACCACAGGACATATAATCCATCTGATTTATTCTGCCATGTTCTGCTCCACAGTGGCCCTACTGCGATGGCAGCCATGCCGCTCACAACAAGGACACGGGCGACAATGTCGGACCGATTGTGTTCAAAAAGTAAAAACGAGTGCCTGGCTCCTGTGATGGTCCATCGCATTGTCAGTTCGATGAGCGACGCGTTTTTTTTCTAGCATTTCCTTGTTGATATTCATGTAGAGCTGCAGCTAATTTGCAATCGTAAATTGTTTAAATTCTATAATTTTGTTCAACCTATGCGTACTGTAAGCAATAATTGATCGCATTAACTCAAAAGAAGCCAATAAAGATTGCCTGAATGAATCAAATTCATAAAACACAGATATTCCAAACCATTTTCAATTCCTCAAATAAATTTGCACACAAATTCATCTTTCAGTTCCTAACTCGATGATTCTGTAAGCGAAGCCCTTTAAAGAGAGAAGCCCGAGTCCCTATCACATATGTAGGAAAGCTCAATTATTAACAAATTTAGCTTCAAGCTATCTTTCCAATTAGATTATCGTGACATACATCTTATCAGAAACGGACTACTCTAATAGTATGCCACACTATATAATAGTGTGTATTTAATATTCATTTAATTTTAGTAGAAAACGCATATTTATTTTTATTCCCGTATAAGTTATTAGATGTCTGATCGGTTCGACATCTAATGTGTGTGTGTGTGTGTGTGTTTTAAACGCAATTACAAAACAATTCTTCAGTTATTGAAAATGCAGAAGGCTGAAACATGAAATACCAAAAATTTCGGTGTGCTGAGCAAACCAGGACAATATGTATTTTAGATGTTTACACAGCACGACGTTTTCGACTCTCATTCATAATTACTAATCAGTTGGAACTTAGAAATAGGCATCGTGCCTGCTGCAGCTGCTGCATTTTGAATCTCGGAGAATTTGTATTGCAATCTATTTGAAAATCTTGCCCTGATTGAATTTGCGACCGTCCTTATCGGTGCCGGTCCATGAGAAGTACTGGGTAACAAGCTTCTTGGTTTCCTCGCTCTTAGCATCCAGTTTCTTCCAGTCGTAGACCTCATAGTCGATCTGCCAGTCGGGTGACAGGGTGAAGGCCAGATCCTGTCCGCGCCACACCCACACACCGGAGATGGTGCTGTTGTTGTCGTCGCCAAAGAGGCACACAGAGGCGAATGCCTGTTTGCGCATCTTATCCAGACGCTGGAACATGCCGGTGATGAGATTGCACGACATGAACACCTTGGACAGCTCGTTGCTGTATTTGTATTCGCCGAACCAGATGGAATAGTTCTCGGCATCGAATTTCTCAAAGAAATAGGGAATGGACTTGGCCTCATCCTCGTTGGAGTAAACGCGCTTGAAGTCATCAAAGTTGAAGGTGCCCTTGGGCAAGGCATCGAATGGATCCTTGGATTTTGGTTCAAGAGCCAATGCCTCATCGGCAGCATCGAGCTCTTCAACTTCCTTCTTGGGTGCCTCCTTCTTCTCCTTGGGCTTCTTCTCCTCCTTGGGCTTTTGATTTTGATTTTTGGCCACGAATTCAGCATACTTCTTGGGATCGTAGACCAGTGCCTTCTCGCACAGCTTAAAGTCCTTGAGGACAGCCTTAACCTGGGGCTGGTTCAAAATGGTCAAGAACCAACGGTTCAAGTTGACATAATCACGTCGTGCGTTAGGCTCCAGAACATTCTCATATAAATGCAACAGGGTGCAGAATACAATAATATCGGCCAGAGTGATGCGTTCACCGACGAGGTAGGTAACATCCAACAGCTTCTTGTTCAGCTGCTGCAGCACAACCTCCACATCCTGCTTCACTTTAGCGACGTTCTTCTCCTGCGGCAATATGCCCAACAGTGGGAATACCAAAGCACAGGAGGCAGGCAAGATTTCGGTGTCAGCAAACGAGGCCCATTGCTGTACCTGAGCCTGCACAAAGGGGCATTTGCCACCGCGCAGCTCCTCGTTGGCCAAAAAGAAGGCAATGGCATTCGACTCGGTTAAGTATTTGCCATCAGCGGTCTCAAAAGCTGGCACCTAAAAAAAAAAAAAACGTTGCAAATTTCAAATTAGGAAATTCCAAGCGCTGCCACATCGTCGAAAATGACATAAATCTATGCAAAGGCCGGCAGCACAACGTTTCTTATTTGCAAATATTTTCTTTTGCCAATCATGTATTAAGTGTTAATAAAAACTTACATTCGCATTCAAATGGTAATATTTGTCATTAACGAAACATATTTGCAAAATATCGTTTTTGCATATAAACGAAGGAGATAACATTTTTGGTTGATGACGTTGCAATGCCGGCTTTTAGGCTCTTTGTTCCACGCCTAACGTCCATTTTTATATGTACATATACATACATATGTGCATATAAAATTGCTTAAGTTAAGTTATGCTCACCTTGCCGCTGGGGAACTTCTTCAGGAATGGCTCGGATTTGTTGGTTTTGCCAAATAAGAAGTTGTCGGCCACTTTCACCTTTGCGCCAGAGTACTGGGCCGCAATGAGTGCCTTGTATGCGCGGAAGTTCTCGGGATAAGTGTAAAGCGTCTGCAATTACGCATGTTGCGTGTAAAAGTTAATTATTAGCAGTTGCCGAAATATATTCTGTACGCGTTGAGCAACAATTTAGCAATTTTTATTGTAGGATTACACAATATTTTACAAATTAAAGCGACGAATTTTTTACTTACTCCAGTCGACATCGTGATTTCTGCCGGAGAGAAAGAAGAAGACGAATTCAATGTTGCCATAGTCGAATACATGTCATGTTATATGTGGAGTGATTCTGTCAGGCAGTATTTCTGTTAAATGAGGAGCATGTTTGGGAATAAATACTGTCAATTGTAACGAGTAAATAAACAGCGAGTGTTATCATCTGCCACCGAGAGCGGCCGTACGCTTACGGCGCATAAGTTTAACACATTTCAGTGCCTAAAAACACATGAAACTATAAATAAAATAAATATTAATGTGTAAGTGCAGCAACGCAACAATGCCCTGAAGTGCAGCAGTGAAGAAACATTTTCTATGCAGGTACAAAAAGTCCTGGGCCGTAAAACGAATACCGCCGCAGTGAAAAAAAAGTGAAAATTCGAGAGTATGGTGTCAGCTTAGCGAGTACGGCGACCGTTGCATGTGTGTGTGCGTGCGTCTTACGTTGCGCTACGTTAACGTTCCAAGTGAAATTTCTTGACAATTGGCAGCGGCAATTGAATTTGTTTATTTTCTCTTAAATCAACGCTACACAGAACATAGCAACTGCCCGCAAATGTTGTTCCCAAAATATGTGAGTTGCATTTAAATACGGGCAATCAAAAAACACACACGCACACACTTACTCGCTTGCAAAATGAATGTCACAGCATCCAGCAAAGTTGCACAGCAAAAGTTTTTTTTTTTGTGTTTTTTTTTGCATCTATTATAACTGTTTACTTTGCTGTTGTTGTCCATTGCTGTGCTCTCTCAACACGTCTTATTGCCGTCGTGTAAATGTGTAACCTTAACATTATCATGCGCTCTTTTTGTCATATGTATTTGCAGCCTATGCGACATGTGACCTTCATTCAAGCAACAAAATCAATAGCAATATACACAGTTAACGTTCACATTTACGTTCACGTTCACTCTTTCTACATTTCATTCGCGTTTCCATTTGTTTGTTGATTTCTGACCTCTGTCTCGCGCCCCCCCAATCATTGCTAGGGCCTACCTCACCAAGCTCAGCTTCCACCCCGCTCAGCCCCCTGCTGTCCACTCGCCGCCATCAATTGTCATCAAGAGCAACAGCAGCCGACCTGGGTGCTCCCCATGATTTACACTTTACTTAATTAGACGTGTGCGGTCACAAGTAATATTTTCAAATTGAAAATACGCCCGGCTTGGCGGAAGCAATGTTAATTGAGTAGGCAAGTGCAGGGGTTGCCACATCTTGTACATATTTACCAAAATTGGTATTTTATTTAATCTGAATCTGGTTCTAGAAAATGTTTCCTTTTTTCTTAATATAGCTTTGAATAACATTTGTATAGTTTTAGTTTTAGCTAAAGAAAACATGTGACCACGAATCAAATCTAACAGTAAGCAATGCAGATTTGTTGTTGACTCACAGCTGTGATTTCAATCTGCAGTCAATGTCTGAAAAGAACCAAGGCTGGGAAGCTTGAAGGGCTTACCACGCGCATTTCTCAGATTTATGTAAGCCCCCTTGTCGTTAGGTTTTTGTTTTTGTTTAAATGAATCATAGGAATCATAAATTATTATACAATTCCTTATCACCTTATCAGACAACTGTTTTTTGACTGTTAACTCTGACGAATGCCCAATCGACATACATACATACAAAAAAATAATATTCACGCGTGTATTTGCTTGCGGCTAATGGCATTGCCTGAAAGCCACACTTAAAACCCCACGCCAATAGCCGTGCTAACTGCTTTTATATTTTGATTAGAGCGTTCCGGTCATAAATTCAAGCTCTTGAAGCTACAGGCAAGGTACGCACACAACAGCAATACCGAACACAGAGTGACCATCTAAATTTAATTCCATAATCATTTGCAGTCAAGGTTGCCACATCTAATACAAATGTACCAAAAATGGTATCTCATTAATTAAATGGTACATTAGATATTTATGTATATGTAAATGCTTATATTTGATTCTTCTACTTCATATTAAGCACATTACAATAAAAGGGATTTAATCATATTTTGAACTGTTTATCTTCAATATAAGAGTACCATTACACATATAATTTTTTCTCGTGTAAACAATTTTGTTAGTTTTATACGCGAAGAATACATCTAATTGGATTTTTACAACACCTACAGCCTTATTTTTAGAGTTGTTAAACACTGCCTTTTAACAATTTTATGTTTATTTCCGTGAACATTTCTCTTGTTGCATTTTCATTTAAGCCTAAGTGTTTGTCTTCGTATACATAAATAACATGCTCCAGAAATTATTTTGCATATTTTGTGACCTTGGCAGGATAATGAAAGATGCACGAATATGACATATATGAGCTGAAAGAGGAACAAGCACGTCTTCCGCCAAGCAGCAGCAGCAGCCCCAATAACAGAAGTCCAAACAACAAGCAACATAAGAATATTTCGCCAAATTCAGAAACAATACAGACATCGAAAGCTTCCACAAAATCCACAGCCACAGACACCGACGAACCGTCGTCGCCAACTTCAACATACTCGGCCATTTATCCGGCAGTTCAGGAGTACGTGGATCAAGTTGTCCAGCCGCCAACACCAGCGGCCAAAGGCGTTGAGTTGGTGCCGAAGCGCAAACGTCAGCGTCGCGTTTATGTGGCTGAGTTTT